TGGCCGAGGCGGGCTGCGGCCGGCACCGCTCGCAGCGTCGTTGCCAGGAGTCGGTGGAGCCTTCAGCTGCCGTTCGTTAGGGGAGCTGCAAGTTCTGGTGAAGCCCCAGCCTCCGCAATTGCGAAGGCCCTTCGGAAGCCCTGCAGGTGTGCACGGCATACACGCTGCATTTATTGTAGAATAAACCGAAGTTGAGCGTGAATTTGGAACAAGCCTGAGCAGTCTCAGAGACGTGTATATGGGAGAGCCTGGTTGCCAGAAAAAAAAATAAATGTGGTCTAGGATTAGCTGCGCTGCAGTCGTTGCATGTTGCAGAATTCTCAACATCTGGAACCGGTCTGTGCCTGTGCTTCATTGCCTGTTCAAGGAGAGCTGCAAAACATTGAGTCTGTCAGAAGGAACGGGCTTGGGAAGTGCTATGAAAAAGCGTTCTTCAGAGCCTCTTTAAATCTACCACAAAAAATGTTGCTGATAGAGAATACAGCTCCTTCCTTGCTTAAAAGAAACATTGGAGCCAAAAGTTTATGATTTGTTGAAGGACGACTTAAAAAAAAAAAAAAAAGTAGATGGATTAAAATACATACTACTAACCAAGTATTACCTTGGTAGCAAGCCATTTGTTATTGTAATAGCAGAAGGTACAAAAGCCCTTTTGCCCTCCTTTCCCTCCCCACTTCTTAAAGGTCTGGCTATATGGGTATAGCGAGTCTCATGCTGTCAGTTGGGGGTTTTTTATATTGACAGTGGCTTTTCAAAGCATACATCTCAAAGTTGTCAGATGTCCAGAAAATGCGGGCAGTAACTGTTCAGGATTACATAACGGGCATTTATGGAATTTGCACACAAAATAAAAGTTTGTGATCATTGCTTGTAAGATCTTACTGATTTAAAGTGTATGTATCATAAATATGCCCCCTTGTTTTATTTATCCAACACAATACTTTTGATGATCTTGGCTATCTCCAGTTTGCCTTCTAGTAACTTTTTTTCTGTATTCAGAAATGGCTACATACCTGTAACTGCTTTCATAGTAATTTGACTTCTAGAGTCAAAATTTAGGGACTATTTGTATTGGGGTTTCTAATTGTTGCATGAAGTTTTGTTCATGCATCAATAGCTGTTTTGTTTTTATGTTTTTAATCACTTCCACACAGGCAAGCAATTGTGAGGAAGACAATTTGAGAACTGGGGACAAAGGTGGCCCTTGGACCTCAGTTTCACAACTGCTTTCTTTGGATATTTGCTCAAATAAGAGGCCTCTGGTTATTTTTTTTTTTTCTATGAAATGCTAAATACGCAGTTCCAATAATTTCCCTGCTGCACCATGCTAAGCATTGAGAATAGGTTTGTAGTGTTATCGATGTTAGCATGTGTGTATATATACATACATATAAATCAATTGCTTTTAATTTTGATGTTCAAATCATCCACTCCTTCAAGTGGTTTTCTATTCATCTTGTTGTGAATGTGAGGTAAAAATAAATCCTTTTTAATTTTTGTTGGACAAAAGTCTGAATTAGTGAAAAATTTCCTGCAACGAGTGTAGGGGTTTAATGTGTCGCTGATGGATGCAAATGACGGGATTGTGTCCTGCGATGCTTTGGGAGCGCTTGCCTGACAGACAGGAGTTTTACTCTTGGTTTTGCTGTGGATGTTTAGTGCTCGGAGTAGAGTGTGGCCTCTCTGCCTGCAGGGGGGCAGTAATGACACTGGCGTCCATCATAGCGTTCTGATATCTGCTGATGAAAGGGTGCAAGAACTGAGTTTTCTGGTAGTTACGTTTCAGCCTGTACTGACTGGCTTCAGTTTCTGAGGAGACGGGGGGTTTCCTGCAGCTTTATGAGGTAACGTAAAGAAGATTTAATTTGTTGTGTAGTCTCCACTACTGTAACAGAGTCTGTATTTTAGTCTAAAATAGATTGAAGCAGACTCATTTTCAAAGCTGTTTTCTGATGAATAATAGAACATATGCCCCTTTTATTGTATGCTTTACTACAGATAATTCACTATTTCAAGTTTTGGATTTCCTGTCTATATTTCCTTTGATGGGGCACTTTTTTTAGCTTAGTTCAAACTTTCCCAAAACTTAACACACCTTGTGAATTAAATCTCTGGAGAGTGATGTGTGAATGGTTAACATTTGGAGGCATGAGGATTTGAAATCCTATTTTGTTAAGAAAGAAGCTAGTTGCTTTCATAGCTGTTTATTTTTGAGAGATGGTCATTTTCATAACTTCTGTATTACTCTGTTACTAGACTACTAGAAAGTTAGCTTAGTTCTCGTTTAGGGTTTTTTTTTTATAGCTTTTGAATCAGAAATCAGCTCTGCTGTAGACTACTCAAAATGGTACTTAACAGAAGTATGGGCAAGGAGCTTATATGTAAACATAGGCTTGTGATAGCAGTTTTTAATCATACTGGCAGTTTTATTTACGTGTTAGAGGCGAACCTAACAGAATGATGTGCTGAACTGAGCTGGAAAGGGGTTTGAGATCACTGTAGATGTAAAAGATGCCATAAATAAAGTGCGTTTTATCCTATTGGAGAAGCTGCAAACAAAATGAAACTTCACGCTGCAGCAGAAGTATTAACAGAATTTTCTGTTGTGCTGTAGCACCTCTTAGGATCTGCATATCAACTCTTCCTTAAACTTCCACCTGAGTCCATGGCATTCTGAGATACCAGCATTTCATGTTGTCTAAGTTTAAATATATCTGAGTGAGTTTTAAAGTGAAGATTGTTGTTTGATTTATTCTTCTCTGGTTAGTAATGCTTCTAGAATGCAGCTTTGTAATTCTCTGGAAAGCAAGAGTTCACAAAGGAAGAGTACGAATAAGAGTGATTTAGGAGGTGATCTTTCCTGACATGACAAATACTTGAGCAGTAGGTCCATGCTTGCTTAGTGTTCCATTCAAGGGAAGTTTTGAAAGAAAACGGATGAAACTACCACTTTACATGGTCAAACAGATACTTGCAATTTTACCACCAATCTTAAAGCCTACTACTTTGTTTCATTCATTTCTTTGGGCTTAGTTAACAGTCATGTGCTTGTGAATTACTGCTACAAGATCCTATCCAGGTCACCAAATTCAGAAAGAGTAGAGTTTTCAGCTGCTATGATTTATGTGATGAAGGTTATGCTAAAGAACTTTTAAATGTTAGTTCCATTTAGTACAGTCAAAGTTTAGAAAAATGTAGTTAGTGGACAAAGACTTCTTTTATACAGCCCTCCCTTGAGTATCAAGTGGAAACACTCCCCCAATCTTCCTTTCTGTGGTTTAAAGTTGTTTTAAATTTATAATTATATATATATCTATGTATGCCTGTGATTTTAGTGCATAAATTACCAGAAGAAGTGTGTCATTAGGTATATTTTCTGTTACCAGGAGAATGCCTCTGGCAGTGTGTTGTACAGACCACAAAATAGACTGCACAGATGAGCTGAAAATATACAAGGCTCTAATTTTATTATTGATTGTGTGTGATTCTGGAAAAAACTGTAGTGTGATTGATTTTTATATCTATAAAAACCAGTAGTATCTGATTATCTCACTTGAGATAAATATAAAACAATGTAGTCTCCTTCAGCATCTTTAAAAGCTGGGGAGTTCTCAAGAAAATGGCTGCTTGAATTTAGGAAGAATTGGTGCAAAAACCAACGCTACGCATTTACGTAGTGCTGCTTATATTATTATAAGCGTGTTGTAGTTCTGCACCAAATTATCTCAATTGCTGGGAGAGTAGCTTTTTCTTCTTCTGTTTTTTTTTTTTTTTTAAATGACTGCAATAATAGAATCTGTTTTCTAGCTGTAGAGAAGCTTACCGTGCTTTGGGGGCCAGATCTTCAGTGGGGCGGCAGTGCTGTCTGTCACGCTATGTGAGGCCACCCAAGGGCACTACATGCCAACTTTTAAAAGAGAATATAATACTTCACTGTTATGAGAGGTATGAACCAGTAAAAGATCGCATGATGAGTTTTTTCCCTGTTTTCAAGCTGATTAAGAGAAGACTGTCTTAGAAGTGCCCCTAGACGGTGACATATCTGACTGCAGTTTCTCTTTGGCACAGCACTAATTATTGTGGCTGCTGTAATCTGAAGACCAAGGCAAATATAAGCTGAAAGGAGTGAGAATGATAAAGATTTTTGCCCTAAAACTTCCATGATTGCAGCTGACGGGGCTACATTCCTAGGCTAAAATTCTCTTGAATGATGGTACATTTTTGCAACCATGTCTTGAGTTCTCACAGGTGATGCAGTAAATACCGAGTCCTACAAACTGCAAGGGAAGAGTGCACTGATTCTGCTTTTTGTCCGTGTCCGTATTCTGAGCAGTAATGTATGGAGTATCCGTTCCTGTGTTATGGAGCACTTTTTTTTGTTTTAGTCTTGATTTTCATTACCATCCTCATCACTTTCTCTTTATTTCCGTTTTCAGACACGTGCTGCAGCAGTAATGATTTGTAATGTGTGTTTTGTCCCAAAGAACCCACGCCGCTGACCTAACTAAAGAAAACGCGAGGGATCTTTTCTCACCCCTTTGTGTGAGTTAAAATGAGCGTAATTTTACCATTCACCTGTCTCTGGGAATGGCGAATCACACACCAGTGGGTGAATGAAGTTCAACAGGTGCAGCCTTAGAAGCAGAAACTAATACGACGTTGGCAGACACACAGCTTCGTGTTGTAGTTACACGATGCTTCCCTGGTGCTACTGTATGATGTCAGTAAAATTAAATACCAAATGTGTTTTGTCACCATCTATTCTTGTTTTTTTAAGTGAAATAAGAGCTTTCATAGAAGGTAATTTTTAAAGTAAGTTTCTTCTGAAATCTAAAGAGAAATGTTAAACGCGTATCACTCTCATGTTCGCAGGTTACTCCAATGAACGCTTTTGTTTGAAGACACAGGGCAGCGATCCACTACTAGTAAATTCGTACTGTGGTCTATGTTTGCTGTATAAGACCCTGATGAATAAATGTAATGCAGATGCAAAGAGAATTGATATGATCTTTTGAGTGTGACTGGATCATCTCCTACAGAAATAGACAGGAGGCTCAGCGCAGAGCACTGCTAAGACTTAGTGAACTTGGTGTCCAGTTCTGGCCTGTGCTTTAACACTAGGAAGCCTTCAGCCAATTTCTTGGATACATAGTATGTATGGCAACCATAAACGCCTTGATCTAAGCTAGGACCTGTTCATAGACAGGTTCCGAGAGGTGGACTTAAATTTTACAGGACGTTAGCCTAACATTGCGCTATCCCACAGTCAGGGGTGGAAGCTAAAGCAAGGCAAAATGCATTACTTGTTAATAATGAGAGTACCCAACATTGCTATGAGTTGTCTTAGTTCTCACTACTGCCCCAAATGCCTGAGTCTGTACAATACAAATACAATTGTCTCCATGCTGAACTACTACGATGAGGTTTTGGACCTAAAGAACACGGATTACTTCCGTATGTGCTGAAATATCATAGAAGGTACTGGACATTACTTCTGGCTACACACTAATTTTTTTTTTCTTCACCTCTGCTAATTCTATAAAGAATTGTTATGTGAATTAAAGTAGTTAACATTCTCATTGCTCTGGGAAGCAAAGCTTCCTTATGACTGGTTAACTGTAGAGATAATTTTTCCCTGTAGAGCATATGGTGGGTGTGCCCAAAGTTAATCTGTGTTTTAGAGTACCTTTCTGCTTCAGTTTAATGCTACTTGCCTCACCCCAAAAGAGGAGAGGTTAGGGAGACATTTCAACTTGGAGAAAGCTGTTAAAAAACTCGGGGGTTTCTTACTAGCCTTTTCAAACTGTAGTGATCTTCTGGGACTGTTTCGGAAATACTTCAACCATAAATCACACTGTCTTGAAAGAGCTACTGGCCCGCCAGCGTTGATGAATAATGCGGTATTGTTATGGTACCATACCCCGCTGAACTGTATTTTGGTTAGTTCTGCTGGAATTTGATTATGGAACTGCTAACTTCATTCTGTATACAAATAACTTAAAACTCTTTCTTGTGCATGGGAATATAAAGATTACTTTTCTGGACTAATGCTAGCGGTGACAGTTTGTATTTTAATATTTTGTCTAGGACCAAGTTGTTCTCCATTTCAGTGAGTAAGAGCCCTTAGGGGCAAGGACAAAGGCCACTTTGTATATATATGCCAAACTTTCTGCACATTCTAGACACAAAATAAGGAGTAATTTCTAAGGGGATTTGACTGAGGCTTGACCAAGATCTGATTCCTAAGCTCAGGGATCCAAAACGATACAGGAATGACAAATTATTGCTGCTGGGGGCTGGTCTCATAGTTTGTACACAGTCCTCAACTTACATAATTTGTCAATTTATGTCACTTCAGGTCAGCAAAAGCTCTTCCTCCACTTAGCAAAGAGAAGTTTACTTAGGAATGTCCTGATGTTGCATCTGTGCAGAGCTCACAAGCCCCACAAATTAAAGGTAGTGACCTGTGTTGGGTTTGTCAGGAAGCCTGCTGCCCTGCCACATGAGAGGGAAGTTGACAAACGCGTATCCTAGCTGCTGAGACTTCTGTCTTCCCAATGGACTGGATGCATCTGCCAGGGACTTGAATAGTGATTCACTGCACAGCATGCAGGGATGCTCAGAATAACAAGGTTAATCTTGCCGCTGAAGTACTCCACTGTTAGATTGAGTCTTGTTTGTTTGTTGTAATGTTTGATTTCTGACCTGTGTCTGATTTGCATCAGCTCACAAGCTCTGAATCGTTTTGTAGCTTTGTTCACTGAATAAAAGAACTGTCCCGCCAAAGCTATCTTTCTATAGACGCCTGGGATCATATCACATCACTTCCGTTAACCACCTTTTAGTCCTTATTTCCCTCATCAGATGTAAGAGCATATAAAATGACTTTTCCCCTCCTTTTAGGGAACAACTGTAGAAACTCAAATGAAATCTGGTTTACCCATTTTAATCTATGACACACTGGTAGCTTACAGAGCATGTTTAGCAACCCTGATAACCTCATTTGAATGCTCTGCGAGAGTGACCGTTTCCTAAATGAGACGTAATGTTAGTCAAGTCAGGGAGCTAGCTGTCTTGTTTCTCTGCTGAACAGAGGTTCCATTTGTGAAGATTATGAATGTTAGTTTTAAGTGACAGTCAGCTGATAGATCTCCAGTTCTTCCTTGCAGGCTTTTAATCATATTCCTACCTATTGATTTTGTTTTTAGAGTGCCTGAATTTTCATAATTTGATTTAAATTGTTCATGTGTCCCATTACAGCATGTAACATAAGACATAAATAGAAAAAAAAAATCCACTAGTATGTTGTGATACATTGGACATGCTTCCTGCATCAGAAGTCAATGGATGATGTTGAGATCTGTTTGTTCAATTGGAAAAGCAGGTATGGTGGCAATATTACGTGTTTAGACTTCTGTATTAATATGAACAAGAATAGCAATAAAAGTCTGAAGATTCTTGGGCACTTGATTAGGAGCCCAGTCTTGGAAAGGCGGTATCTGCTGCAGATAGACATTAACAAGGGGCAAGCGTGTGGGTGCTTTTTATGATAATACTCTGAAAAACTGGTAAAGTGCTTTTCTTTAGATCTTGTTTTGAAATGTTGACATTTCTCTAAAGCGTCCTGGAATGTCCTTTCCCAGTGTATCAGGCAAGTTTGAGTACCCATGGCTTTTGAGTTAGGTTAGAATTTGAATGTCAAATCATTCTAGCTAGGAAATCACTGCTGTGTCAGATGAGCTTCAAAGTTCACATCACAGTTTATTAAAAAAATCAAAAAAAATCACAAAAGGAAATTTAAAAAATTGAAAGTCCATGGGTGGCTCAAACACTTTTCCTTCAGATGCTGCCTTGCGTATTGACACAAATTCGTTATTATCTGGGAACCTCTGACACACTGGGTAAATAGTTTGGAATTGAGTCCACACTTAAATGTTTCCTTTCGCTAGGTTTTCCTTGTTTTGTGATGTGACTAAAGATTGATTTTTACTTTTTTTAAATAGTTATTGACATAACTTTCTAAGAAGGTAAATGTTTAAACGGAAATGTAACAGTTGTAGTATATTCATCTCTGCTGAAAGAAATTTGACGTATCTAGACCTAAGGAATGGGTTTTTTTAAACATTTCTCTGTGTGTACACACACACACATACACATAGGAGCCTGTGGCTTTCCTTTAGCGGGTTTTTCAGACTTCATAAAGTACCTTCCAAAAATCATTCTTGGGCAATTTAACAGTGCAGTTCCCTGCAAGTATCGATGTAGTATCTGGGTTGAAGACCTACTAAAGGTTCTGAAGTTTTTAACTTGCCTACTGACTATAAAATTAATATTCTTTTGGGAGGGTGGAGGTATTGTTCTGCAGTTCTTACCAGGGAGTGAAACTGCCAAGTTCTTTTTAGGACACAGGGAGCCTGTGATATATTACGAGCAATTGAACTGTGAATGTGGCATAAGGGATAATTCAAATTATAGAAATGCAAGAAATGGATAGATTAAGACTCTACTTTTTGTATTATATCAAGCATTTATGCCAACTGTTTTGTTGTAATGCACCTTGCACAGATGAAAATGGTGATTTAATTTCAACAAGTGCAAGCATTTATGTTTGAAATGGAAAACTCTGTATTCATTCTCAGTTGTAAATCTTCTTGTTTTTCTTTCAGATTACTCTTTACATCAGTAGAAATGGACAGCAGCAGTTTCATTCAGTTTGATGTGCCCGAGTACAGCAACACTGTTCTGAGCCAGTTAAATGAACTCCGCTTGCAAGGAAAGTTATGTGACATAATTGTGCACATTCAGGGTCAGCCATTTCGAGCCCATAAAGCTGTTTTAGCTGCCAGTTCTCCGTATTTCCGTGACCATTCAGCATTAAGCACCATGAGTGGCTTATCAATATCAGTTATTAAAAATCCCAATGTTTTTGAACAGTTGCTTTCTTTTTGTTACACTGGAAGGATGTCCTTACAGCTGAAGGATGTTGTTAGCTTTCTAACTGCAGCTAGCTTCCTACAGATGCAGTGCGTCATTGATAAATGCACACAGATACTGGAGAGTATTCATTCAAAGATCAGTGTTGGTGATGTTGACTCCGTCACTGTTGGTGCTGAAGAAAATTCAGAAAACCGCAATGGAGTTAAAGACAGCAGCTACTTTGCCAATCCTATTGAGATATCTCCCCCCTATTGCTCTCAGGTGCGACAGTCAACAGCAGGCAGCGATCTTAGGATGGAAACTACTCCAGGCAAAACTCTACGTAGTCGTCTGCAAGAAGAAGGGCATTCAGATCGAGGAAGCAGTGGGAGTATCTCTGAATATGAGATTCAGATTGAAGGTGATCATGAGCAAGGAGACCTGATAGTAAGGGAAAGTCAGATTGCAGAGGTGAAAGTTAAAATGGAAAAGTCTGACAGGCCAAGCTGCTCTGATAGCTCTTCCCTTGGTGATGATGGATATCATACTGAAATGGTGGATGGAGAGCAAGTGGTGGCGGTAAATGTTGGTTCATATGGGTCTGTCTTACAACATGTTTATTCGTTTACCCATGCCTCATCACAGGCTACAGGTGTGTCTGAAACCTTCGGAAGCTTGAGCAATACAAGTCCTTCAAGGTCAATGCTGAGCTGTTTCAGAGGGGGTCGTGCACGCCAAAAACGGGTATCTGCTGGTCACCTGCATAGTGATGTTCAGGGCTTGGTGCAAGGGGCTGACAGTGAATCCATGGTGAGTAACCCCGGATATGAAAATAGTCCACGGGAGAGAAATGCAAGAGGTCATTGGTATCCATACAGTGAGAGGCTAATTTGTATTTACTGTGGAAAGTCTTTCAACCAGAAAGGGAGCCTTGATCGACACATGCGATTGCACATGGGAATAACTCCCTTCGTGTGCAAGTTTTGTGGGAAGAAATACACCCGCAAGGACCAACTTGAGTATCATATTCGTGGTCACACAGATGACAAGCCCTTTCGCTGTGAGATCTGTGGAAAATGTTTTCCTTTCCAGGGTACACTAAACCAGCATTTGCGAAAAAATCACCCTGGGGTAACAGAAGTAAGAAACAGGGTAGAGTCTCCAGACAGAACAGAAGCATTTGTGGAACAAAAAGTAGATAATGATGCTTCAGCTTCTGAAGCTATGGATTCTAGTATGGAAATTCATGCAATGTCTAACACATCTGATTAAGATATTACATTCTAAGTGCAACACAAACAAGCACATCACTAATGTATTTTTTAAAATCTTTTATTCTTTTAGTAATCTTCAGTACAAGTATAACAGCCTTTTAATTTTCCCGAGCTTCTGGAAATCAGTTTGAAATGGTTTCTGGAGAAGACTACATAAGTATTCTTTGTTGTTGAAGGAGGCTGGGTTGTTTGGTTTTGTTTTGTTTTGTTTTTTTACTTTTGAAGATGCTCAAAATATAAAAGACAGCGTGCTGGGGAAAGCATAGGAAGAGTCTGCTGAAGTGTCCCTACTGGTTGATCTGGCAAGAAACAAATTCCAGTGGAGAAAGGTATTAGAATAAGATTGGCAGCTCTGCTGGATACACCAAGAAGCTGTAATCTCCCTTATTTTATTTCTTAAATCCTGTTGCTGGTCATGAGTTACACAGCAGTGGGGAGAGAGAATATTACAGCTTTGATTCCTTCGGTGTGTCATGATGAAATCTGTTTGCTTTTACTAACTGTTTTTGGTAGTTAGTCTGTTTATATATATAAAATTTGCTTTATATATATAAAATGCTTTCACTTTTCCTATTCTGGTTGAGGTGAATGTAAAAGTATGTCAAGGTTTATACCATGTACTGCTCTTTCAACTGCTAGGTCTCCTCTCTGCTTAGGATTTAGGACTTCAGACTTTGGGAGGATGGTTTTGGTTTTAAAAGAATGTTGTTTGGTTTTCATTTTATTAAGCTATTACTTTGTGTGCAAAAGTGAGCAAAGTGAATTACCTTGTTTCAATAGCTTTGCTTTATAACATATGTAAACCAAATGCCATAAACCTATAAAATTATGGTTAAATTGTTGAGGGGTTTTGTTAGTTGTCCAGAACGCAAGCTGGACAACCTGTGGTGCTGACCTTTTTATATATATAAAGATAGATATATCTATATATATATTAAAAAAAAAAATTAGCAAACCTAAAAGTAGCATTGTGGTTTTAAGTGTGTTTTTACTGGCCTCAGAATCTACCTTCATTTCGTACTGTAGAACCATACCAGGTAATTAAATTTAACTTCATCGCTCTTCATGGTTGGTTAAAACCTGAGAGAGATGTCGTAGTTTAAACTACAGTATTTCCAAGCAGTGTTTAATAGGTCTCTTCGCAGAGAGCTGCTTTCAGGTGCACATTGACTTCCTACTTAAAGCTCCAAGTGACATGTCAGCACTTGGAATTTGTACTTTTTTTTGTATTAAAGAAACAAATACTCTATGGGAATTTCGAGCAATATGTCTGTTATTTCATGTGTGAGTATTACAGAGTTGCTATGGCTTCCCTATTTTTAGTGGTTGTTTTCTGCATAAAGGAACTACCAACAACTTTAAAAATACTCTAAATCTTTTTGTTTCACCAAATTTTTTTTTAATATGGTGCTAACTTCATCATTTAGGTCAGTACAATATATAAAATGTGAAACCTAATGGTAACAGTTAAGCAAAAGAAAAAAAAAAAAACCACAAAAAAAACCTAAACCCAACAAAAACAAAGAAAACCCCACCCCAAGCAAACAATCCACAACAAAAACACGCAATAGCTTAAGAGACCTCAGAAGCGTGAACTGGCAAACACTACTGTGTAAAATTCAACCTGATGAACAGAACTAAATTAATTACATGCTTCTTTAAAATACAGGTTTTATATAATTGGGCCTTATGCTTGTTTAGCAAATACTGAAAATCCACCTGTGAACATGCTGTTTAACTCCTGAAATTTAGACAATAAAAGCTCATTCCTCAATTACAGGGAAGCAAAAAGGTAGGTTTGCTGTCTTGTAAAGCTTTTTTTGGCTCCTGGGAAGTTGGGGCATGTTTGTGCAGTAGCTTTATTGAATACACTAGTTCTTAATATTGTGACAGTCTGCAATAAGAATTAATTTCACTAAATACAGATTTACAGTGCAAACCCTACCTGCTCTGTCAGAGCAGTTTCAGTTGTATTGAGTGCACAATTTGCCTCTTTGTCCTAAAATTGCCTAAATAAAGAGGCAGAGGGTGGGGAGATGTTTCTCTCCTTGAAGCGACAATTGAACTCTTGTTTCCAGTAAGGGAAGGTATATGTCTGTGTCTAGGGGAGGTAGTCTGTGTGTTTACCCACTTAAAAACATGTTGGTGTTTCTGATCCTGTTTTTTTCCTAAATGTTTGTTTTAAGTAATTTAATGCAAAAAAAAAAAAATGTGTTTTGATAAATTAAGTTTGAGACATGCAAAATCCAAGAAATGTACAGTTATTTTTAACCCTTTATCTTGGACCTGTGCTGTGGTGCCTTTGGTGTGATTTTTTCCATGGAAGTATGAGTTGAGGATATGGGTACTAATTTTATATTTCTTGAATTTCTCTGTGTCACAATCTTAACATTATTTAAATCTAGTTCTTTGTATTTGTAAATGTATTGAAATGGTTTGAGTTTACCAAAGAGTGACTTATCCAAAATTGTCTCTGACAAAAACAAACAAAAAACCAACATCACTTTGATTGTACAGGTTCAGGTTCAAAACATTGTAATGGGACTGTTAAGGGGCAGGAAATGATCACTTTTTCTACAAAATCACGATTCAGCAGTTTGCAAGTTCTGCTTGTTCCTGTTCGTGTTGATATGCCATTTACCCTTTCCACTGCGAGCAGTGTTAATAATTACCAAGCCATAACACAGTACTGTGAAGTTCAACAGTGCTTCAAAGGATGCATACGCAGGTGAGCGTAAAACATCACCGAGCATTACATTTACACTTACAAAGTGTGTGACTCTGGTAGAAAACGAACTTCAAGCCTGGCAACAGCAATTAAATTGTGCCTTGTCACATAATGGTATGCCAGGATTAACATTGTCATGAAACATGAAGCATTATCTGATTGAAGTTCATTCCACAAGTCCACCAAAACAGAATATGCTGTGTTATTTCAAGCAAATTATGGAAGTACTGTACAGTGTCTTGTGTCTGTACAGTTTTAAGTTAGCACAGAGCTGTTACACATTTCATTTACAATAAATGCAGAAGTCAGTAAAATATGTGAAGAAATATTTGACAGCAAAATAAATCATGAAATTATATAGGCTGGTTCATAATTGAGTCTCTTCTTAATCTACCTTTTTAATTATAGACAAATGTGAAGACAGTGACAGTGTCCTTTCCTCTAGATGTTTAACCTATTATGACAAACTGTGAAAATAAAGGATTTTATACCTTTGCTAATGTTCGTGGTTTTAAACAGTTATTTTAGTTTTCTTAATCAGTTACCTTCCATATTATTTCTTTTAAACCTGTAAATACATTTAGAAAATAGCTTTGTAAATACTTATAGTACATTAAGGGTTCAGTTTGGTCGATGAGGCCTCAAGATTGGCTCAGCTTTTTTCGTGTGAAATCTTTCAGTAGCATAAAGGATACTGTCAATTCACTGTTCCGCAGAATATACTGTAGGCCTAAATTGATAGTTCTTAACGCAGTCTTCCCGAGCATAAATTCATGCTTTGTGCTGCAGCCTTTGGTTTACTTCTAAACAAAACAGTGAGGCCTCTTTAAACGGGTTTCACATGAAACCATTGAAAGGGACTCAAATATGCAACACCTAATCTATTTTCCAAGGGAATTTTACCCTTGAATGGTGCTTTTTGACTGGTCAGGGTTATTTATTAAATTTTATATTTGAAAGTATTTGGGGAATTATGTAAATTCTTTATATGAATCTGTTTATTTCATGAATTGTAAATTTCATAATAGTGGTTGAATTGGAAGTTCAGTGAAGTCATTCAAAATGTTCAAAGTTTATAATCTGTGTGCATTTTACATATATTTTAACAAGTGCCAGAATAGTCGTATTTAATATTGTAGGTTTAATACTACTTGCACATCCCTGTGACAGCATTAACTTAAGTTACGCAAGTTTACATTTAAAGAAAATGCTAATCAGACAAGTAAGCCTGGGACATGTGTTCCTGTATTTCTTCAGGGGATGTGACACCGAGTATCAGTAACTGAGCAGGCTGGCTCCCGGCTTGTGTCCGTGACTCCTGCTATGGCAGAGACAGAAAACTGCTGCCTCTGCCCTTCCCGTGAGCTGTGAACTCAGCCGTTGGACTTGGGTTGCAAGCCTCTGGTTGTCTGTCTGGTTAGAGGTAGAGCTCTTGCACGATCTTAACAGTGTTTGTTTCTGACTGAAAAAATGTATTTTTAAATAACTTTTATTTGTATGGTTGTTTTTCATGATAAATAATTGAACAGTTTGAATGACTTGACTTGGTGTCATTATCTTGCAATATAAACCGGTAACCTCACAACTCCACACTTCATCACCATATGAAGTAAATGAAGCTAGCTAAGCTGATGCTGTAACAATTAATAACTTGCCATTAAGGATTATTTTATAGCATGAATTTTAAAATATTTATTCAAATGATATTTTACTCTTGTATTCACTTTGTTTTAGATTTGTGACATGAATATTTCAGTGCTGCTTTATTTTGTTCTGATGAATTTGTTTCTTGCTTGTAAATTGCTTTTTTTATGGTATAAAGTCAATGGGAATTGCTGTTTGTAAATTAAAATGCTTCTAGAGCAAATCTATGGTGTCAGTGTCTCCATTTAGATACTCAGTTACTAGGGGACTTGCATTGTAGAGGCTTTTCCTGAAGTGTTATGAACAGTTGCAGTTCAAGACTCACGTACCAACTAGGAATCAAAAATCTTTAGAGACAAACGACTCTCAAAGTTTTGCTTGTTTGGTTCTGAACACACGACCCCTTGAGTTTTGTGCTCCAAAACCTTTTCCAACTCTCAAAGCAGAACAAAAAGCCTGGCCGAGTGGTGGCCATCTGCCTCACGCCGAGGCAGAGGCACGGCCGCTGGGAAGGGGTGGAATGCTCGATTTGCACAGCATCACCCGTATTTCACGTCGTGCCATCTGTAATAGCAGAGCTAACGCTGTTCTCGGCAAGCGCGGGGTGCACCTCCTCCTGGCCCACGGGCTTCCGTGTAATGCAAGCAGCCAGCAACTGCTTTGTTACCTCCAGCCTGCAGCAACAGCCCTAACTGCTCTGGTGGCAGCTGGCTGCGGGCAGCTCCTCAAGTGCCTTCGTGACAAGCGGCCTCTTGGATGAGGCCGTACACCCTCAGCCCAGGTGTATACAGCCACTGGTTCCCTGAGATAGACGTATCCTTCCTGGGACAACTGGAATTTTGGAGAAAGAATTTTTGCTTTATATTCATGAAAACACAGCTGATACTATTCAATTTGGTTAAAATTTACCAATATTGTTGCCAGTTTGTCACTGTGTATGAGATGTATGCTGGCATAGACATCTGTTCTATAATAAAGCTGAATTAAATGAGTTGTAAACTCGCATGGCAGCAAGGGGTGTGTTTATGTAAGGCTAATGCAGCTGAAGGGTATCTTTATCTTGCGTGGCTCTGGCGGTTTTTTGGTGGGCTGGTTGGTTCCCCTGAGACCCTATGGGCAGATTTGGAACAACTATTTTAGCAGAACAACTGTTCAAATCCCCTTGCTTATAAGGTCTGAAAACTCAGGTAATGCAGAATGGGGTAAACAAGGGGTGACTGTTCGGAGAGGAGTACGTGTTACGTAGCTTCTACCTGGGGAGCAGAGACGGAACACAGGGCGTTTCCCATATTCCCCTCCACGCCTGTTTTGCTTTGTTTTGAGTCGATAGAATTGTTTCATCTTGTCAGGTGGCGATGCAGCAAGGCTGTGTCCATGGAACTCAATGCTGTGGGCTTTTAGAGCCAAGCTGCTCCCCAGTTCCTTCAGAAAATACTTGCTGTGTTTCCTTCACTGTGAGTTTCTGTCCTCGGGCCGTACCAGAAGCAGCTTCAGCTGTTTCCTATGCAGACCCGTGAGTTGGGGAGGGTGTGAGCTGACACGATCTTCAGCGATTGCGTCGTAACCACCATAGATTGGCTTACAGCAGATGGTCTGTGCACTGGATGCTGGCACAGCCGGCAGCACAACACTGGGCACCTTGTGGAAACGGCTTTTGGTATGCAAGCGCGCAGAAGGGGCTGTGCTGCAGCGGCAGTCACCGGCCCCAGTGCCTCCTGCTCTCTGAAGGGAAGCGTAAAGCTTCCTCCCTGATGTGGCTGGCTGCTTTTTGCTTGCTTTAGTTGAGCAAAGCAAACTCGCTGTGCTTTGTTTACGGTGCTATGCAGGTACAATCCAAGTACCGAGTTCCAGATAAATTTATCCTTTAGAGCAGACACTGTTCCTAAGGGCACCAAACTGTTTGGGAGCGACGGGGGAAGGGAAGGTAACTAGAAATGTCTTTCAGGTGGAAATTATACATGTCTGGTGCCTCTGGAAATGTGGCTTTCAGTAAGAATGAGATGTATGTCTGCACCATCAGAGCAACACACATGCATGATGCGTGCAATCGCATCTGGGTAGTGCGCCCTGTAGCACAAGAGGCACTGTGAATTACAGAGGTGACTTAAATTGTTAACAAAATAAAACATCCTTTCCCTTAAATTGCTTTTTTTTGGTACATTTTAAAATTGTATTCTTTTGAAAAGCACAAAAATGCAGCACTAGCAAAATGTAAATATGCCACTGCAGGTAGCAGTGAACTACTGGTGCTGGTCAGCTGTCCCTGAATCTGGTGGAGTTTGGTCGAGGGCATTCGAGTTGTACTTCTACGAAGGCTCGTACCTCCATGTCTATCGTGCATCCTGAGCTTTACGTAAGAACTATCTGTATAGGAGCCAATAATGCTGAGCGGGCACAAGAGATCTCCCTTTCTGCCAAACATCTTCAGTTCTGGCATCAGACAAAAAGGGTAAAATGGTATCAGGGAAGATCTTCTGTATGATGGAGCGTAACAGAAGGCCTACAAGAGGCAGCAGAGAGCTGTGAAAAGGCATCCATCTGTATTGCCATGGTACTACAAGTCGGACTCGTGCTCCTATATGACTTCCCCAGAAGCCTTGTACTGTGTAAAACAAAAGACAACAGATGTAGACAGGAGAGGAAAAGATAAAAGGGTTTTGGCCAAGGGGCAAGTTGCAGTCACCCACAGTGGACTCTTCCTGCCGCTGAAACAAAGGAGGGTTTTGAGGGATGATGTTTTGAGGCAATTTTGCAAGGTTGATGGAGAATTCAACAGTGTGAGGCAGTATCAGAGAAAGTACAAAGGTGCTTGTTTGAAAACGTGGTAAGCAAGCAAAGGATGATGACCCTGGCTGCATAGGAGTGGAATGTGCTGGTAAGAAAATAGACACATTGAGGATTGATGGGAAAGCCCTTAGAAGTGAAAATACACAACTGCTTCTGGAAGAGAAAACTTGGGAGCACAATCAAGGGATACAACCAAAGCAACAAGATTAGAAAACAGTCTTTGTAGGTTTAATGAGGCAAAACTTGCCAACCCAGTCAAACAAAGCTGAAATGATGTTATGGTCAAATTTTCACACCATGTAAAAAAAAAAAAGTGCCTATCACTTCAAGAGATATTCATGATACTTCAGAAGACTTCACAGTATCCGAATAGTCTTACGATTATTTTCTCTCCTTTCACAGAGAGGAAAAATCTTCTGATACAAAGATGGGGAATTCCACTGTGCTCAGATACGAGATAACATAGGTCAATTGCCCACGTAAACTGTCTGGTGGCTTCAAAGGACCCCTTCTTGTTTTGTCCACATGAAGATGCGGAGGTAAGAGAAATTGTGGTGGTGTGTATCAGACTATTTTAAGATTTTAAAAATGTCTCTGGGCTACCAGAAAAATTCCACTAATCTTTGCACTTAACACTTCAGAATTATTCAGGTTTTTCCCTTTTTTCTAGCTAACCTTATGCTGCATTTTTGCTGCATAGGCTTCTAACTTCATCTAGTCCTTTCTAGGGATACACCATTGACCTTGGGCAGTTCATATTTGTTTAAAGTTGCAATCCATGGCAATAATTACAGTGCCATAGAACAGTATGTGTGGTTAAACTTCAACTTATCTGCTTGTTTAGAGTTTGTCCCTAATAACTTGGAAAATACTTCAGGCTATTTCAGCAGAGATATCCAATAAAAGAATTGTTTTACATAAACTAAAGTAACTTATTTCCAAAGCACGAATTTGGTAAAGCCTGAAAAATGTTTTCTCTAAATCAGTTTCAAGCCATGCTGGCAGACAAATGCACACAAAAAAGGTTTGGTTATTGAAACTACCTAATAGTTCATAATTTGCAATAAGAAACAGAACTTCTTGATCCAAGACAACCCTAAGCAGGAACTGCTTATCAGAGCTACTCTCATTTGGTTCATTTTTCCTGCTTTTGTACATGGTGTAACTTGCTTCCCTAAACCGTGCTTGTAATTTCAGTAGAATAAATATTGTAAGCAGGGATTTGTCTTTTGTTGTATGGCTTTCCACCATTCTAAATCTGCTCTAGCTGTTGGTATAGCTGTTCTTGTAGTGCAAAGATTCACAGGGTGTTACTTGGCACTGCTATGTATCTCCTCTGCTGGAAATTACTACTTATGTAGCAGAGTCAGCAGAAGGAAAGATGCGGCCATTCCCATGCAAAGCCTTACATGGGGATGGGATAAATATCAGAGGATAGAAGAATTAAAAATCATCAGTAGAAACTTTGACAGAGTTTCTCTCAAAATCCTTTAGGAGATGCAAAGTTCTATTACTCTATATGGAATATTAACTCTGAATTTAATTACTGACAATTTCATTGTCAATTTGTACTTATTTGCCCAGTAGATCTGATGCATTTTGATGGTTTGCTACTTATAATGCTAATATTAATGTTACTTATAATAATTTATAATTGCCAGTATCAACACTGGCTGAATGGGAGATGAAGGGATGGAGAGCAGCCCTGCTGAGAAGGACCTGGGGGTACTGGTGGACAAAAAATTGGACATGAGCTGGCAATGTGCACTTGCAGCCCAGAAAGCCAACCCTGTCCGGGGTTGCACACAAAGCAGCATGGCCATCAGGGCGAGGGAGGGGGTTCTGCCCCTCTGCTCCGTTCCAGTAAGACC